AAGGACAAAAAGCCCTGCCCAGATAGCTCCCCACTATGTAACAGAAGTCCTAAGCTGCTGGAGGAAAGACAGAAAACCCTGTTGTCCTCAAAACACAGATGAAGACCCTCTACAGTTGGGAAGAAAGATACAGAAAAAAAACCTCTCTAACCTTGGGAGGGGGTGAGAAAACTATCTGGACCCCGTGCATTAGAGCTGCAGTCCCCATCCCCAGGCCACAGACTGGTACCGGTCCATGGCCTGCTAGGAACCAGGCCACAGCAGGAGGTGAGCAGTGGGTGAGCAAGTGAAGTTTCCTCTGTGTTAACAGCCATTCCCCATTGCTGGCATCACTGCATAAGTTCCGCCTCCTGTTACATCAGCGGTGGCATTAGATTCTCACAGGAGTGGGAACCCTGCTGTAAACTGGACGCGCGAGGGATCTAGGTTGCGGGCTCCCTGTGAGAATCTAATGCCTGATGATCTGAGTGGAGCTGAGGCGGTGATGTTAGTGCTGGGAAGTAGATGCAAAACAGATTATCATTAGCAGAGAGGTTTGACTGCACAATAAATGTAATGTGCTTAAATCATCTCAAAACCCTCCCCACTCCCATGGAAATACTGTCTTCCATGAAACTGGTCCCTGGTGCCAAAAATGTTGAGGACCTCTGCATTAGAGGCTTCCTACTGATGGAGGAGAGGTGGGGTAAGTTAGAAAGCCTCATCCTCAAGACTCAAGCACATTGACCTTGCCTAAATAATTCAGAACCCAGACAACAGAAAATATTCTCCCACTGTCCACAACCAGGCTAGAAATCACCTAATAACAAGCAAGCAGCAGAAGGGGCAGGTTAATGGAAAGATCCTCTCTGAGGTGCAAGCTCACAAAAAAAAACCTAAGACTAAGAGAAAATTAGGGACATTAAAAGTAAAAACCTGCCAGCAATCCAATTTCCACCCAAAGCAAAATAGAACACCACAGAACTTTTAATCCCCCAATGCTGAACTCAAAGAAACCATGACAACAGCAAAACCCAAACCCTCTGAGCTCTTAACCAGATTGACTCAATGTCCCACAGTCAAGGCCTCGCAGAGGGGTCGCGCCCGTTTCCAGTAATAAACACTACTTACCTCGGTCTGTGCTGTCCCAGATGTAATGTTTGGCTGTGCACAAAAAAATCACAAGGTAAAAGGAAAATATAAGAGAAGAGGTATGTACTCTCAAGAAACAAAGTAATCAACAGAACAAGATTCAAATATAACCCAGAAACTATAATATTCAGCTAATTTAAAATAATTATTAGTATGTTAAATTCAGTAACTAGAAGCAATAAGAGAATTTAAGAACACTGTGAAGGTAAATACATTGGTAAATATAGATGCCAGTATTATTACATTTTTGCTTTGTAATCCCTCTCTTTTTCCCCAGATGATTTAAAAGAAAATGCATAAAACAATAATTATAAATCTATGTTAAGGGAAATGTAATGCATAAAGATATAATTTGTGATAACAACAACATAAAGAAGGTGAATCCGTATAGAAGCAGAGTTTTTATATACTATGGAAGCTAAGTTGGTGTTAATTCAAACTAGAATTGTTACAAGTTTAAGATGTTCATTGTAATATCTAGGGTAACCACTAAGAAAATAACTAATATATATACAGAAAAATAAATGAGAAGAGAATCAAAATGATACACTAGAAAAA